TGGCCCCTTTAATCCACAAAATCTACAGGCGCTGCAAAGTCAGGCAGGTTCCTGGACAGCTTACATTCAACATCATAAAAACTCAACATCAGCCTTTTTTAGTTCACTGTCCTTTAATTATGTTCAACTGTCCAGATGCCTGTGAAGGGTTAAATATACTGAGGAAAAAACATCTTAATGTCAATTTCCCCTCAAGTCTTTTTTCAGAGCAATAAAGCGGTCAGCACTGAAACCCATATATGGTCATAGTCGCTTCCAGCGCGCATGAAGGCTCAATCTGATTTATAAATGTTCCTTATTGTTAAACTGTCCAGCTCCAATCTGCAGATCTTTCCAAGTTACATCAAACTTAAACAAAATAAAAACAAAAAGCTTTTTTTTTTTTTTGGACGTCCATGTTGAGAAATGTGACAAAGACGCAGCTATAGGCTCTCCTGTCATTGCTTATTTTGCTTTTCAGTTTCAGATGCCGTATCCTGCAGCCTCCCCACCACACACACACCACCACCACCACTGTATATCCATCTGCAGCGCGCAGTTATGCAGAAATCTCCCGCACATCCAGCCAATAATCCTCGGGATGCAAAGAGAAATCCATCACTTTCCAGCGCGCACGGATCAACGCTGCGCAGCAAGAGTCTGTGCGTCTTACAGGACACACGCTTTAAAAATGTACAAACCAGGAGGTTATTGAAACAGTCACTCTGTTTCACAAGGAATGCACTCGGAATTTGGCCCGTTACAGTTCAGGAAAGCGCTCAGATCCTATGGGTTTAAGCGCACTTCCATATTCCATGGAGAGCTTTAAAACCAGTTTCCCGATATTATTATAGAATATAACAATATAATATAACAAAATAGAATATAGGTTAACTCATAAATAAATACTCATGGTCACACAATATCAAATATTTCAATCAGCTCTACTCACTTTTAGCCTTAAATTCCCTTCAAGACGTAGAATCCAGCCGTCCGTGAAGCTGCATCTCCCTTCTGGATATTCTCACAGCGGGCTTCCACTGCTCTCCAAACAACCCGCAGAGCTCAGGACGAAAATAAAGAAGGAAAAGAGTCCATGAGCAGAACCAGAAACCAGATGTTGGTGCATGAACGGGAGGATGGATCCGCGCCACCGGGCGCTGCGCAATGGTCCGCTCCGCTCTGGAGAGACGGTTAAAAGTGTCTCCTCCGCTGGTTCCTCCATTGGCTGAGGATGTTGATGACAGAGGAGTCCCCCCACCCCCCACCCGCCTAGAATATGAAGCCAAGTGCTCCATTTATCTGACTGTGAGTCCTTGGACTCTCTTTTAAAAGCCTAATTTTTCTTTTTCACTGATTCTCAGACTCCATCCACCTCACCACTGTTACAGCTGACATGAGCTGACAACTTCCATAGTTTAAAGTTTGACATAAGAAGTTCAGACTCATTTACTTTTTGCCTTTTTTTACGGATCACATTTGTAAAGACTGATAACCAAGATCCCGACTTACTATGTGTAAATGCCTTATGCATAGAGACTTGAAGTGGTGGCAGAAAAATATGCTGATTTCATCACTAACAATCAACATTTGTTTGGAAAAGCCCCCAAATGAAGATGGAGGCTATAAGGTGGAGAGAGAAGCATGCATTTGTAGGATATCGCCATAATCAAGCTTAAATGTTGCATATTCCTAATTTAATGTGTTTTAATTAAATCACAGCAAATCCGGGGCGAGGGACTCTGCAGGGAGTATTTGATCCAGTCATGCGTACTTTAGTAGAGACAAACAAGAAGCACAGAGAGAGAGAGAGAGACCACTCATTTTCGGCCCTCTTTAGGAATATAATTACTGCAAACAAAGTCTAATCCATATGGTAAACTCTTTTGTATTGGGCTTTTATCCAAAGTGCTTCACAATTTGCCTCCCATTCACACAC